ACCGCAGATCGCGCGCCAGCCTCCCGGCGGACCTGGGCACACACTTCCCGCCCGGGGCCTGGGGACAACCGGGCTCCTGTGTCCCCGCTCCGGCACCCACCCCCCCCTCCAGCGCTGTCGCCAGCCCCGCCCCCTGCACTGACGTCAAGCAGCGCTGGCTGCAGGTCTCAGATCGCCTTGCGCCCCCGGGGGGGAGCTGGACTCACTCCAGCCCTCGCTCTGTGTGACTGGGCGACAAAAATCCAGGGGAGGGTGGACCGGGAGGTGGCTCTGGGGCAGCAGAGGGACCAGAAACAGACAGGAGAAGCGGGGTGTGGTGGCGCGCGCCTGTCATCCCAAGGAAGACCACAAGTTGGAGCCCAGTTTGGGCAACTTAGCAACGTAGCGAGACTGTGCTTCAAAATAAAAAATAAAACAAGGACTGGAGATGTAGCTCAGAATGAAGGGCCCAGGTATAATTCCAATACCACACACACAGGCAAACACACCAAAACAGGAGAGCTGGGCCCATGCCTGTCATCCCAGCATGGGGAGGCTGAGGCAGGAGGACCCCTGCAAGTTTGGGGCCAGCCTCCGCTACATAGTGAGACCCTGTCTCAAAAAAAACCCCCCAAAACAAACAAAAACAAAAACCCTCAAACTCAACCAGAATGGAGAGCCAGAATTGGAGACGGAGGCCCAGCACAAAACCCAGGAGAGGCACAGATTTCTTCCTCCCCTCTCCAGACCTCCTTGGGGTCCCCAATGGTATTGCCCCTCCTCCACTTTCCCTGCCCTGTCCCTACTTTAGGGCCAGGCTGGGCCCTGGGGCTGGCCTCACAGAACCTTTCCTTTAGTCTGTGTTCCAAAGACGTGGTGGAAGGAGCAGAGAGGGGCAGGAGACCTGGAGAGGCCTCAGTGCCAGCCATGCCCTCCTACCTGCCCCCGTCAGCGTCCACGAGATGTGGACACTGGGGAGCCAGACTGGATGTGGCCTCCAGGCCTGTCATCCCAGGCTTCCTGTCCCCACAGCCCACCGCAGCCTGGCCACGCAGGGGACTTCCATTTGCACTCTGCGCTCATGAACGCAGCGCCACCACGGGACCTCCCTGCTAGGAATCCCCGGAACCAGGCTGGCCCCATCTCATTAGCTGCTAGACTAAGACTCCTAGACTTGAAATCCTGTCTGTCGCAGGTCACCGGGCTTGGCAGGTCCTTCTCCATCCCCCAGCGTGACAGCAGCTTCAGGTCTGCACAGGAAGTGGGAAGGACCTGGCGTTTATTGAGTGCCTACTGCATACCCTATCAGATGTCTCCACGGCAACCCTGGGGGCAGGGATAATTTTTATCTCTCTCTTGTGGCGGAAGAGGAAAAGCAAGGTTGGAGAGAGCGCAAAACCACAGAGCCCCTCTACCTCCTCCCTGCTTACAGCAGGTGGCCCGAGAGGGCCTCGAACCCGCGACCGTGGGCACGCACTCACCTGGGCCCCGTCTGGCGGCCCAGATCCTGGAAGCCGCGGAGAAGCCGAAAGCGCCGGCGGAAAGTTGGGGACGCGGTGGCGAAGAAGACGGGCGAGGAGGGCGGCGATCGCGGGCGGCGGGGCGCGCGCCGGGCCGGGGGATCGGGCAGGAACGTGTCATCCTCGGTCGCCGCCAGCTGCAGCTCGGGGATACGACCCAAGCCACGCGGCCGCCGCGCCATGGCCTGGGCGGGCGGCCCACGGAGCCCGGCGGCGCAGCCCTGGGGCCCTCGGGCCGCACCCGCCCGGCCGCTGCCTCGGCCCTTCCGGCTTCGCAAAGGGGCCGCCCCCGGGGCGGGGCTCAGGGGCTTGGGGTGCCCACACAGCGGGGGCTGGGTTCCCCGCAGACCCCGGGCGCCGCCGCACAAAGCCTCAGACCGCCCTGTCAGCGCCGGAAGCGTCTCCTCAAACCCCAGCAGCCGCCCTTAAAATTTGGGGGTGGGCCCACAAACCCCCGAAGTGGCGGACAGGCTCCCAGACCCCAGGGCCACCCCACAGGGCCCTCTCCATTTCAGCAGGGCTCTGACTGTCCCTGAAATAGCCATCCGCACAACCCCGGGATACACCCCAGCCGCTGGGTTCACCCCACAGATCACAGACATGCTTTGAGGTACACTATCATAGTCCCCCGATGTCTCCATCTTCCTAGCTGCGTCCTCATTGTTTCTGAGACAACCTCAAAATCCCAGGGGTGTCTGGCTTGGTGGCACATGCCTGTAATCCCACCACTGGGAGGCTGAGGCAGGAGGATTTCCAAGAGTTTAAGGTCTGTTTGGGCTACAGAGTGAGTTCAAGACCAGCCTGGACTCCATAGTGAGACTCTGTTTCAAACAAAAACAAAAACAAACCCCGGAAGCCTCCAGTGCCCCAAGAATCCAACCTCCCCTCCGTGACAGATCCAGTCACACACACAGCTGGAGACAGTCTGAGGTCCCAGTGGTGACCCTCTGCAGAGCCAAGGTACCCAACCTTTCCTTTGCTAGCTGCCGGTTCCAGTGTCACAGGGTCCAGAGTCAGGTGGCCTGGGCTTCAGTCTGGTCTCTGGCGCTTCTTGGCCATTTGACTTTGAGCAAATCATTTCATTCCACTGGGCCTAAGTTTTGCCAGCTGTAATTTGGGTATAATAAGAACACTTGCCTCACAGAAGGGCACGCAAAAGTCTCAGAAGTGTCTGCATACAGTGAGCCCTCACTGAATGTTACCTCCCATTGTTGTTGTTTTTTTTTGGTACTGGAGATCGAACTCGGGTACTTGCGCTTGTACAGCAGGTGGCGAAACCACTGAGCTAAATCCCCGGCCCTAAGGGTTTTTTTTGTTTTTTTTTTTGAGGGGGATACAGTCTCGCTAAGCAGTTCGCTTGGGCTGGAACCCACTATGTACCCCGAGATGGCCTTGAACTCTTGGGGATTCTCCTGCCTCAGCATCCCGAGTGCTGGGGTGACAGGCCTGTACCATTGTACCTGGGTGTCCATGAAATGTTAATGTCTATGGAAACAGTGTGTGTAGAATTGGTTCTCCAGAGCTACTGATTTTACATTTCTGGATTCAAACAACAACAGATCAAAAATACAAAAAAGAAAAAAGTGTCTTAATCCTGAACAGGTACAAACTGATTTTTCTTGTCATTATCCCCTAAACAATACAGGGAAACAACTATGGACATAGCTGGGTGTGGTGGTGCATGCCTGTACTCCCAGAACCCAGGAGGCTGAGGCAGGAGGATTGCCAGGAATTTGAGGCCAGCCTGGACTACATAGTGAGTTCAAGGCCATGCTGAGGTACACAGCAAGACCCTTTGTCAAAAACAAAAACAGGGCTGGGGATTTAGCTCAGTGGCAGCTCACCAGCCTCAAAAGCATAAGGTCCTGAGTTCAATCCCTGGTACTAAAAGAAAAAGAAAAAACAACTATGTATATAGCACTGACTTCTATAAGTCATCTAGTTATAAGTCATCTAGAGGTGATTTTAGGTAGATGGGAGAATGGGTGTGGGTTCTATGCAAATACGGTGCCTTCTTTTTTTTTTTTTTCTTCCCTGTGCCTTCTTATATAAAGAAACTAAGAAGCTAGGTGTGGTAGCCCATACCTGTCATCATAGCACTCCAGAGGCTGAGGCAGGAGAATTTCCATAAGGCGAGACCCTATCTCAGAAAAAAAACAGAACTTGAACATTCACAGATTTTGGTAAAAATCAATTTCCAGTGTGTGTACCAAGCGGCAGCTATATATCTACATTATACATAAGATTTAGGCCCGGGAATGCAGCCTACGCAATGCTCTTGGTTTGATGCTCAGTATTGGGAAAGAAAAAAAAAAGTGTCCTGTTGTTTTTGGTACTGGGGATCGAACTCAGGACTCTGTGCTTCTGAGGCAGGCATCGGCACCACTGAGCTAAATCCCCGGCCCTCTGTTTTGTTTCTTTGAGACAAAGTCTCACTATGCAGCCTAGGCTGGCTTTTAATTTGAGATCTTCCTGCCTCAGCCTCCCAAGTGCTGGGATACAGGTGTGTGTTGCCATCCCAATCTTCCACTATCTTTTTTTTTTTTTCCTTTGGTACCAGGGATCGAACTTGGGACCTTCCGCTTGCAAGGCAGGTGGCAGAACCACTGAGCTAAATCCCTGGTCCCTGCCATGCCAATCTTTCAGATTCTTTGTAACTCTATCCTCAGCCATGTTCACCCCCTTGGCTGTGCTTGGCCTTGTTGAGAACACACAGTCCCCTGCCCTCCACCCTCTGGGGTTGGATGATCTTTGGTCCTGGGAAGCAACGCAGCTGTAGGCCTGGCCTCTACCCACTAGATGTCAGCAGCACCCTTTACTACGCCAGTCAAATGTCCCCAGCCACTGTCACAGGCCCCCTGCAAGTACAACTGCCCATGGGATCCCAGCCCCAGTCCCACCTCGGCCCCACGGTTTCTGTCCTGGGTGTCCTTATCCCCTGCCTGGCTGAGCCTCCTCTGTCCTGCTGTCCCTGAATTGTCTGACGCAGAGCAGCCCTGATGGACAGATCACTAACGGAGCAGAACTGAGTCCAGAGACTCCTGGAATCTTAGCCAGGAGGCGACACAGGCCCTTCATGCCTGTTTCCTTCCAGCCCAGGGACTTCCGTCCCTTCCTTAGGAAGCCAGCCTGAGCCCGTGACCCCTGAGCTCTCCATCACTTCCCTGCCTCAGTTCCTTCCATTCACCCCTCCCTTCCTCTGTGCTCCTGGTTCCCATTTCTACTGCAGGACCTTTGCACCGACCACTGTCTCTCCCACTCGCACCCTCTTCTATCAGATCCACACACAGCCTCCTCCTTCAGTTTATTTAGGTCTCTGCTCAAATGTCACCTCCTCAGAGAGGCCTTGCCTGACCTCAGGCTCCCTCTGTTCTTCATAGCCCACATGTCACCATCTATAATTATCGGGTGGCTTTATCTTTACTGCTATTTCTGCTTCACCCACTAGTCTGGGAATTGCAGGCAGCAGGACTAGATCTCTGAAATTCTGAGCTGCAGTCGGTCTCAAGCATGCTTTGATAGAATGAATGATCCTGTGACAGGTAAGGAAACTGAGGCTCTGGCAGGGAAAACCACAGAGCAAGCAAAGGGCAAAGGAATAGAAACAGTGAGAGAGATGCCCTTCAAAATTCTATCCTCGCCTGTCATTCCAGCACTCAGAGAGGCTGAGGCAGGATGACTGTAAGTTTGCACCCAGCCTGGGCAACTTAGAGACTTTTCGAGATCCTGTTGCAAAATGAAAACTACAAATGGCTGGGAGTGGAGCTCAGTGTGAAGGCCCTGGGTTCACCTCCCAGTACTGGAGGAAACAAAACCTCCATCCTCAACCTGCCAGGCTGTGGATCCTCCAGGGCCAAGGCCCCAGTTTCATGTACCCGCGTCCCTGGCAGTCAGTCTGTCACCAGCGGAGACCAGGCTGAGTGTGCAGCTTGAGGGCAGCCTCGAGCGCTCTGCTCCCCGCTGAGCTGATGTCATCTGAGGAAGTGCTTTCTCCAAACAGCGCCTCAGGTGCTGCACACTCAGCCCTGGAAGGCTCACCGCAGCAGTGGGGATGGCTGAATATTTTTCAGCCTGGTTTTACTGATGAGGAAAAGGAGGCTCAGAGAGGCACACTGCCTGGATCCTGATCACACAGCAAGTCAGCCGGTTTGGCTACGGTCTGACCCTTACCCCTGCTCCAGACTGCAGGAGGGTTGTTTTGTTTTACGTACTGGGGACTTAACCCAGGGCCTTCACACTGAGCTATATCCGCACAGCTCCAACCTCCTGGTCCCTTTGTCTTGCTTTGTTTGAGACAGGGTCTTGCTATTAGTTCAGGCTGGCCTCCAACTGGCGGTGATCCTCCTCCCTCAGCCTCCTGAGTGCTGGGATGACAGGCGTGTGCCACTGTTCTCAGAACTGTGTTTTAATGCTAACTCTGCCCTTTCTGGCCGTGTGACCTTGCACAAGTCCCTACGCCTCCGTCTTCTGGGTAGGAGTCGACCAGGACGCTTGCAAGGAAGCGCGGGCGCGAAGACGTGTGGGTGGGGTGGCTGTCTTGGGGTGGAGGCTAGGGACAGCGATCGGGTCCCTCCCCGGGGAGCACGAGGACCGCCCCTCTCCGCAGCCTGCGGTCAGCCGGCCTGGCGCCCGCAACCGAGGCGCTCAATACGCATAAAATAATAATGCGGGGTGCGCGGCAGCGGCTCTGGCGGCGGCTCAGCGGCAGGTGACGACCCGGAGCGCTCGCAGGCTGTTACTTCCTCTCCGTCCAGCAGGGGGCGCGCGCGAGACCCGCAACACCCAGGCGTGGAGCAGCGCAGGGGACAGGGGCGAGTGAGGACCCACGGTAAGACAGGCCACCTGCTAGAGATGGACCGGCGCCCGGCTCTTCCATCAGGTCCAGGGACTATCGCCCTGCGATGGCAAGGGTTTGAGGGGGCTACGGTGAGGGGCAGGCGTGCGCCAGCCCCGGCCCCGAGCCAGGCCCCCCTTTCCCCCTCCCAGTCCTCCTCGTCCATCTGCTTGACAGATCGTCGGCCGTGACTCAGCCCCGTGGGGCGCGCCAGGAATGCGGCCTCCTGCACCTCCAGGTCGGGCCCAGGGTGCAAATGCGTCTTGGATGAGGGTGAGGCCGTGTCCCCTCTCTGTGGGTCCCCACGGCTCAAGTCTAGGAGGCTGGCGGCCCTGTTTCTGGTGGCTGGATGAACTCCAAGGTGGGGAGCTGCTCTGGAGAACCCCCAGTCTGGAGAAATGAGGGTCCCTGAACTGTGGGTCCCCTGGCTCCTACTCAGAGAGCAGGGACAGGGCACCTGCCTCCCTCAGCCCACACTCCACCCATGGGTCCCAGCTGGAGGCCATACAGGCTCCCAGAGAAGCAGAAACTGGGGATGTGCGAGAGGTTCCTCTTTAAATCCCCACTCCGGAGAAGCAGTGTCCATCGGCATCCTGGGAGATAATCTACTCTGAACTCACTGTGTTAAGTCCTTCACACAAATCCAAGCTCACAAAACTCTCAAACTGCCCGGCAGGACCATGCCAACCACAGCCCCACTTTCCTGCCAGGAAATGGAGGCTCAGAGAGGGCAGGATGCTTAGGGAAAGACACACAGGCGCCAGGCAGACGTGACCTGGAATCTCAGCTCTGCAGTTTCCTGGCAGTATGAGCTTGGGGTGTGTGTGTGTGGGGGGTGATATTTGCCCCTCTGGGCCCCAATTTTCTCATCTGTCCAACCAGGGTTCCCTACGGAGCACCTGCCATAAGTCCCTGGCAAGGAGCCTGAGACAAAGCCCTTAAGAGACAGATGCCACTAAAGCAATGATGATTATCACCACTCAGCCCCTGTCCCCTGAGAGCCACCACTGTGGAGACCAGGGTAGAGGAAATCCCTAGGGCCTTAAAAGGGAACGGAGCTCAGCTCCTCAGCAACCGCCCCTCCTCTCGGGACAGTGGCCTGAGCCCGTTTGGCTGCCTGCCCCAGGTCTTGGCATTTCCTGTTGATTTTAGCTTTGTTTTCCTTTGGCTCTGGCTCTTCTTAGGTTCTTTTGGGAAATATCAGACTGCGTGTGTTGGGTCGATGTCACTTGTTTCGTGGGGGTGCAGGACAGAGGTAGCTGCGGCTGGGGGCGGTCCCCAGAGAGACCTAGGAAAAAGAGGTCACAGCCCAGGGTCACCCTTGGGGACTTTGGGTAAGAAGCCCAAATCTGAGCACCCAAGTGACTTCCCAAGCAGCAGGCACTCGTGGATGAAATAAAATGTCAGTCACCCTCGTTATCGGGACACACACAGTCAGACCCTGGGGCGCCACCAGGGCAGGAAGGGTCTCTAAGAATGTCAGGTGGTGAGGGGACACCATTCTTTCAGGCATCCCAGGTGGACAGCAGGGACAGTCCCCAAGTCAGGGATCTGACTTTCAGACATGGGAACGGGGCGGATGAAAACATAGCCACTGGGTCTCACAGAATCCCAGGGAGCAGGGACAGTTTCGGGGACCCAACCACAATGCCCCAAGGAGGGTTACACAGGACTGTGCGGCAGTCACTGCGTCTGTGGGGTACACACCGTCACCGTCAGCTTGTCCCTCAAACACAGACACCATCTCACAATTCCTGTCCTGGAGCACACATGGTCACACTCACTGTGTCCCACGAGGAAGGTCACCCTGTCACAGTCGAAGCATCCCTGGAGCACACACAGTCACTGTCACAACCACTGCTCCAGAAGCACGCAGTTCCTTGCCCCAGTCACCCTCCTGGGGTGCACACTGCCACCATGTCACAACCACACTGCCCTGGAAGCAGACAGTCACCCTGAAAGCACTGTGTTCCTGGAACACACGGTCGCTGTCATAATCACTGTGTGCCATGAGGACGCACAGTCACCCTGTGGCAGCCCCAGCACGGTGGGTCAAACAGGTCATGCTGTCACAATCGCTGTGTCTGGAGCCCAGAGCTACATGTCACAGTCACAGGACCCCAGCAGCCCAGGCAGAGCACATCGCCAGCCATGGTAGCTGCAGCTGGTCACACACTCATGGGCAAACTGAGGCGAGTGGCAGGACATGCTCAGAGCAACTCCAACAGTCCCCCAAGACACTATCCCTTGAAGAAGCAGAATTGGTCACCCTGTGCTGGGGCTGTGCACCTCGGGACTGTCCCCTGCTTCTGAGCTGCTCTGGAACCCTGCTCCTGGCCTGAGAGCAGGCTCCATCCTAACACACAGACCAGCACACTGCACCCCAGGGGCCCGCTGTATTCCTGATGCCCCTGCTGCAGGACAAGTCGCCAGTTCCCCCTCACAGAGGCCTGTACCCCCAGGAGGACGCCGAGAGTCCAGCCGGGAGCAAAGTGTGGACCCTTAGGAGTGCTCCCAGGACACCCCAAACACAGTGAATCCAGCCCTCAGTACGATGCCCCCAGGAAAGTCCCTCCAGGTGATACCCGTGTCCACTTACTGTCTGGCACCAACACCATCTAGGCTCCCGCAGCAGTGGACCCTTCCCCAACCCAGACCCTGTTAACCCCGAATGCACAATGGCGCCCCCTAGTTCTCCCTCAGGACTAGCATTAGTAGGTGCACAGGTAGAGACCCCTGTCCCCGACGCCCCCGGAGCTGAACTCCCCTCTTTCCGCCCCCGCAAGTCATACCGGCCCCACCCGAGTCACAGCGCCGCCCTGCGGCCGGCGGGACGCTCTGCGCCCTCCCTGCGCGTCCCCCCGGGCGCCCCTCGCGCATCAGCCGCCCCGAGTCTCACCGCCTGCCGCTGCCTCCGCCCGCGCCGCAGCTGCTTGTGCCGGTGCTGTGGAAGGACGAAGGCCAGGACATGCGGGTCGTGCGCAGGCCGGGCCGGTCGCTTGTGTCCACGGCGTCGGCGCGCTCTATGGGCCGGTGTGGCGGCCGCTCGGGGTCCGAGCGCTCCGCGCTGTCGGAGTAGCCGCGCTGCTGGATACGGATCGGGGTTCGCGGCTGCCGCCACAGGTGCTGAGGGGGCGGCTTGAGGGTGGCCTGGCCCTCCCGGGGCCCGGGCAGAGATAGAGACAGGCTCCTCTCCGAGGTGGCGGCCGGGGGCTCCATGGCGCCAGCCCCCCTAACCTGCGCCCCGGGGGGGCTCGGCCTTTCCAAGCTGCACCTTGCTCAGCTGCGCGCCAGCCGACGCGCCTGTAGCCCCGCGGGTGCGCCCGGCCTCAGTGGGGCCATGGCGCCCCGGGGACAGACCCGGGGGCGCTGCGGGCCGATCGCCCCCGGGCCGGGCGCCGTGGCTTCCTGTCCGCTCCTGGTGCTCGGCTCCTAGCCCGGCTGCGCTCTCCGCGTTCGGCGCCAGCCCCGACTCCCCCGCCCCGTCCCGCCCCTCCCCTCCCTGCCCCCCGCCCGCCGCGGCTGTCAGCGCCGCCCCTCTCCTCCTCCGTCCGGGCCAGTGGGGGGCAGCCACCCAAGGAGGGGGGCCCTCCCCGCCCACGCAGAGCCCCGCTCCCGGCGGGGAGGGGGCGCCGGCACTCAGCTCTCTCCGGAGCGCCCAGCCTCACAGCGGCGCGCACGGGCGCGAAGGAGTTAAACGGTTAATCCGATCGGCCAGAAGACACCGGACTGGTTGCCGGCGCGTTAGTCAGTCTGTCCATCACGGTGGGGGCGGAGCCGGGTGCTGGCGTGTCCTTGCCGCCACCCCGGGCCGGGGGAAGCTCCTGGGGAGGGGTCCCGGTGCCACGCGCAGGGTGCTTGCGGCAGGCAGTGGCGGGTTGCCGGGAATCGCCCGGCTGCGAGGCGGAGGATGGTGACGGTGCTCGTCCGGGGCGGGATGTGTGCGCACGTGGCCCCTTCCGAGGGCTGTCTGTGTTTTCCATGTTCTCGGGAAGTGTGTGTTCGCACGTGGTTGGCTGCTCCTGTCTGCCTGTTTCTCTGTGTTTTGCCGTGTGTGTGGATCTATGTGTCTGTGGGTGATAGCTGCGTGCGCACGTGCACTGCCTGTTTGGAAGGCGTGCGCGTCTCTGGGGTCTGATCTGGTGGCCTGGGGGCTGCGCTCTTCGATCCCACGCGCGTGGCTGTGCATTGTGTTCAGCGCGCGCTTGCAGAGTTGTGCACGAGATTCGGCCTCCGTCGTCTGACTGTGCTGTCAGAGTGGATCTGTGTGTGCCGGTGCCTCTTTGGGGTGCCTGTGGGGTAGGTTCCCGGTGTGGCTGCAGGAGGACGCCCTGTGGCGGATACCGCGGCTGCCCGCCCACGACTCTAAGTGTCGCTGTCTCTCCTAAAGCGCATCTGCAGGAGGTAAACTGAGGCAGGTTCCGGTGGCCGCGGGGTGCACCACCGTGCCCTTTTCAGAAGAGTAAACAGCCGAGCCTCCTCCCCGCGGCCCCCGCCGGCAGAACCCCCCTTCCGGCACCTAAATCGGGAGTCGCTGTGACTCACGCTCCCGCCTCCCCCAGCGCCGCGCCGAGCAAGCAAAGAGCGAGCAAGCGGGACCAGAGCGCGCCCCCATCCCCCGGGCAGCGGTGGAGCCCCGGGGCTGCACGGTGAGGGGACTCATGCGTCCCCGTGACCCCCCGAAACCCATCTTCATTCAGACCCGAAACCACTCAGGTGCGCGCTCCGGGGGCCAGGCCCGCACCCCCGTGCGCCCCCTCTCCCAGGCTTCCTGGGGCAGGCCGTGCTGTCTGCCACTGCCTTCCCCCCACCTCGCGCTGTTCTCTTTATAAAAAAAAAAAAAAAAGGGACCTTTCCGCTTCCAACCTCCACAGCCACTTTTCTCCCCGCCAGAGGGGGCTCCCGGGCGTGGGTGAACGCGGAGCAAGAACCGGCACCCCTATCAGCAGCCGCGGGGGTATCCCACAGGCCAGAAGTGTAGCCCTTTCTTTCCCCAAGGCTTCTAAGGGATCTCCAAGGCCGCGGGGCCTCCCTTGGTCATTTGAGGGTCCCGAGCTGGGCTGAATTCTACAAAGCTCAGTGCCTGGCCAGAGCTCTGGCTGGAGGGTGGGTATGGGGGAGGGGGGCTGCAGAAGGAAGGGACCAGGCAGTGGGCCAGGGCTGTCATTTGGAGCTGGGACTAGAGTCCTGAGATGGATCTGGCTGGACCTGAACCAAACAGAAGCTAGACAGATGGGGGAAGGGCCCAGGGAGGAATGACAGTCCCTTCTCCCTCCATCTGGAAGTGGGCCCTTGTATCGAGACCTAAGGGAGACCCTGGGTTTCACCAGTTGAGTTGTAGGGGGCCACGGAGGGAAGGGGATGACAATGGGGACTGCAGAGAGTGGCGGCCGGGGAGGGCAGCAGGCAGACCAGCAGCCAAGACCAGCTCCGCTGTTCGGCTTTTCTACTCATTCAAGGGCCAAGAGGGAGGGTGCCCTGGGAGGACCCCAGATTTCTGTACAGTCTCTTGCTGACCCAGGCAACTTGGAAAAAGAGGTTCCGGGAGGGAGGCTGCAAAGGAGCCTGGGGTGGAAGGGGGAGAGAAGTCACAGTCTCACACTTGACAGAGTTCTGAGTTTCAGCTACTTTTGCAAAACAGGGAGCCCAGAGCTGTCGACGGCAGGTGGCTGGTCCCTTTCCAGCTGGCCTTTAGCACCCCTCCCAGCTCCTGGATCCCTTCCTCCCTACCTGTGGGCCTCTGCCCTGGTGATGGAAATCCGCGGCGGGATCAGCAGTGGCAGTGTGGTGGGCCGTGGTGCCAGAGGGACACAAGGGTCCAAGGGCTCAGGATGGGCCCAGCCCAGGCGGGGACGGGATGAGAGACAGCGGCTAGGGCGATGGGAGTCTGCCCCCAGCATGTTGGGGCGGGGCCTCCAGAGTCTCCTGGGGCCTCTGCGGAGAGACACGGGCGGGATGGGGCGTGGCCTGGCCTGGCCTACAAAGACTGAACCCCTCCGCCAGGAACACCCCCACCCATATCCACCAGAGGGAGTAGCTAGCTGATGGGGGTATAGGGTATAGTCCCTGTATCCCCGACACGTGTGAGCCACCCCTTGAGGGCACCTTCCCACCCCTTGGGTCTGGGGGGGCCCCCTCTTGATTTCCAACCCTGAGTTCTGGGGCCTAACATCTCTACCTTCCATCATCCAAGTTCCCTCTAACATGTACATCACATTTTTAGGACGTCTTCCTAGGCTCCACATCCAAGCAGCCCCCTCTTGGCCTTAATGTTAGTGTTTCCCTCCTCCCCCCACATCTGGGACCCTCAAGATCTCACCCCAGTACCCTCCATTTTCTGGCTCAAATCTTCAAGGCTGAGACAGGAGGATCATCTCGAGTTCGAGGTCAGCCTGGCCTATATAGTGAGATCCTGTCTCAAGGACCAAAATCCTTTCCCCACTTGAGAAGCCCCATGAAAGACTCTTGTGCCTCCTACCCCAGGGCTGATCTGCACTGGAGGAGAGAAGTGGAGTCGAAGGAGTAAACTGAGGCCAAAAAAGGTTGACATGCTTCCTGGCCACTCAGAAAACAGTCTCCATCACCAGAGGGCGCTCGTCTCTGCCCTGCCCATTGCGGCTTTAGTCCCGCCCACGGAGGCCTAAACTCCACCCACTGCGCCCCAGCCCCACCCACTGTGGCTCCGCGCCACTTCAGCCCCGCCCCCAACAAGGCCCAGCATCTCGCACCTCGTTAGGATCCTGGCCACAGACAGGAAACTGGGACTCCTCTTCATCCCGTCAACCTAACGTGTCCATGTCTTGGGGTTTGCGGGAGCCGTGTCAGCCCAGGCCTGGGCCACCTGCAGGATCAAGCCATTAGCGCCCCAGGCCTCCCCCTGCCGGCCGGGTCTGGAACCGGTCCCACCTCTCGTCCCTGCCTCTCCCGGGGCGTGACGTCAGCGGGCGGCTGACGCGCGGCCTGCCAATGACGTGTCCGGCCGTTGTCAGGACGACGGCTGACGCACGGCGGAGCTCCGGGCAGCGTCAATGCCGGGCTCGGCCGCTTGGGGGCCGAGTCGCCCCAGCCCCCTCCTCCTCCCGGGGGCTTCCCCCAAGCGGGGATGCCACAGACTAGCCCGGGAGCTCCCCGAGCTGGCCGCGTGCTGCGCGTGGTCCGAGCCGGGGGCCGGAGGAAGCGTCTTCTCCGAGCTGTTGGGCTTTGGTGCCTAAACTCGAAATAACTTGGCTGTGCGGGGGCCGGGCGCAGAGAGACGGCGGCGGCTCTGGGCACAGATGGGGACGCGCGGAGACAGACAGGGCCGGTGGAAATAGAAACAGGGACACAGACGGAGCCTGCTGATGGCCGCTCTGCTGCACCGCCGCTTGTGAAAGCTTGGGGGAGGGACGGGCTGGCTCCTGTATCTTCGCACCAACCCAGGCTTGAAGATTCTGGGTGTGTGGCCTTGAGCCACTGACATTCTCTGGGCCTCAGTTTCCCCTCTGTGAAGATGGCTATGGAGCCCTTGTGAGAACGCAGCTGTCTGGCAATCAGTAAGTGCTTAATAAATGCTACTAACCTTGGAGCCCGTTGGAGCCTGTCAGGTCGCGTCCTTCCTCAGCTGGGGCCCCTCAATGGCTCTCACATCACTTAGAGGAAAAGTCAGTCTTGGACACTTGGCCTACATAGTCTTTGCCTGCAGCTCCAGGCATGTTGGGCAATTCAGGACACATCAGGCGTGCGTGCTGAGGCCTCAGGGCCTTTGCATATTCTGTTGCCAGCAACTGGAACTCCTTTGCCAAATTTCCACAGGTCCCTCACCTCCTTTCATCTCTGCTTGTATCTCTCCTCACTCTGCCCTCCTCCTGACCTATGCACGGACGCACGTGTGTATGTGTGTGAGCATGCGCATGCATGTGTGTGTGTGTATGCGTGTGTGCGTGTGTGTGCATTGCTGAGGATTAAGCCCAGGGCCTTTGCACTGAGCTACATTCTCAACCTTCTTTTTTTGTTTTTTTGTGTGTTTTTTTTTTGTTTTGGGGGGGTTGTGTGTGTGTGATTTTTTTGTTCGTGTGTGGGGGTTGTTTTGTTTTTTGGTACCAGGGATCTAACTTGGGTCCTTGTGCTTGCGCAGCAGGCGGCAAAACCACTAAGCTAAATCCCCAGCCCTGTGTGTGTGTTTTTAAGACAAGGTCTCACTATGTAGCTCAGGTTGGCCTCAAACTCATGGCAATCCTCCTGCTTCAGCCTCCCGAGTGCTGGGATAACAGGCATGTGCTACCATACCCGGCTAGCCCCCTGTTTTAAAATTTTAAGACAGTGTCTCCAAGCTGTGCGTGGTGGTACACTATGTCATGTGATCCTACCTCAGGCTCCCCAGTAGCTGGGACAACAAGCACACATTATTGTGCCCAGCTAGAAATTGTTGCAGACTACAGTTACCTACTGTGCTAGAGAACACTGGAACTACTTCCTAACTGTGCTTATATCTTTTTCCTGCCTTATTGCATAGCTGGGACCTGACTTCCATATCAGTTAGAAGTGAATCTCCCTGTATGGTGAAACGGTGCCCATTCATCATACCCCCTCCCCAGTCTCAAACAATGAGGGAGGGAAGGAGAGAAGGGAGAGGAGAGACAGAGAGAGAGCCAACCACCCCATGTGCAGATTGACAGATTTGCTTAGATGGGCAGAGAATGGCTGTGGGCTGCATGCCTACTATTCCATCTGCACAGCTGGGCAGAGTGGCACACATCTGTAATCCCAGCACTCCAGGAGGCTGAGGCAGGATCATGGGCCCAAGCCTAGCCTGGGCAACTTAGCAAGATCCTGTCTCCAAAATAAAAAATAGAAAAAAAAAGGGCCAGGGATTTACCTCAGTGGTATCACCGCCTGTTGTGCAAGTGCAAGGACCCAAGTTCGATCCCTGGTACCAAAAAAAAAAAAAAAAGAAGGTCCTGGGTTCAATCCCCAGTACCCCCCGCCACACACACCCCTAGCTATTGCAGGATGGGGAAATCAGTAGGATCAGAAGTTCAAGGGCAGCCTGAGCTATTTAGTGAGGGGCTGTCTCAAAATAAAACCAAACAAGGCTGGGAATGTAGCTCAGTGGTAGAGCACTTGGCTAGCACAGATGAGGCCCTGGATTTAATACCCAGAACACTAGAAACAAAAACAACAAAACCAAAAAAAATCAAACCCTGCCCTGGCTCCAGAATTCTGCCCACAGACCTGCATTCAATCCTGCCTCACACCTCCTGGCTGTGTAACATTGGCCAAGTCACCCAGCATCTCTGGGCCTCAGTTTCCTGATCTATAAGACAGGGATACCATTCAGACCTACCTGTTGAGGTGGATGTGAGAATGAAGGGTGAAAGGAAGCAATGCATACTAAGTTCTGAGCACAGTGCCTGGTTCATAGGAGGTACTCACAAAAGGCCATCCTGGTAATAACAACAAATTATCATCACTATGGCCATTGTTTCTGGTTTTGGTATTTTGAGACCTGGTCTCAAAATGTAGTTCAGGCTGGCCTTGAACTATGTAACCCAAGCTGGCCTTGAACTCATGGTGATCCTCCTGCCTTGGCCTCCCAAGTCCTGGGATCACAGGTGTGCGCCACCACACCTGCCTTACTCTTACAATGTTGTCTCATAGGGAGCTATAGACAGGCTTGAGGGACAACACACGCAGGGAGACTCACCTCCTCCTCTGTCCTCCCCCACCCTCGGAGCCTCCTGCTGTCCCTCCCACTTAGAGCATAATCTGACCTCAGGGCCTTTCCACATGCTCTTCCTTCCATCTGTAAAACAAGTCTCAAATATCTCATTCTCTTCGTACTTCCTTGATGCTCCTTTCGTTCCATCTATTTGCTTTAAAATTATATTCTAACACCATTTGTCATTCACTTACTAGTTTAGTAATTATTGCCCATCTTTTTTGTTGTTGTCCTAGGGGTGGACCTGGGGGCCTTGTCATGCCAGCAAGTGTCCTACCACTGAGCCGCACCCGCTCTGATGAGGTAGGGATGTTGAACTCTTTCCTTCCATGCTGGACCCTGAGGGACCTAGGACCATGCTGGGATACAGTAGATGCTCAACTAATAGCTCTTGGATGAGTGAATGAATTTGTATAATTTATTTACCTTTGTTAGGTCTCTGCTCAAAGTCACCCCCTTCCCTGAGATGGGAACCTCCCTAATGCCGTCATTTTCAGCCCCTCTCTCAGCTTTATTTTTCTTCTATAATCTCATCTGTTGCTCCCTTCCCACCTTTTGTTTCACAGGGCCAGCGGGCGTTATGTCTCATTGCAGGCTGTAGCCAGGGCCAGCCTTGAACATACAACCTGTGCAGTCCCACCAGTCCCCAAGCTTGGGTTGATCTTCTACTGTTGCCTTTGTTTTCTGAAACACAGTGCCAGTATGTAGTCCACACTGGCCCCCAACTGCCTCAGCCTCCCAGGTGCTGAGGTTACAGGCGTGGGCTACCCCACACATCCAGCATATTTCTACCAGTTTTTGATCTGTTTTTGGTACCGGGGATCGAACTCTGGACTTTGTGCTTTCGAAACACATGGCGGAACCACTGAGCTAAATCCCCGGCCCCAGTTTTTGATCATTTTGATCAGCAACTGTGATTTTGTATTTAGTTGTATTTACTCTGGGTCTTTTTGGTTTTGGTTTGGTTTGATTTCTTGACACAGGGTCTTGCTATGTATCCCAGACTGGCCTTGAACTTGGATCCTCCTGCCTCAGCCTCCTGACTGCTGGGATTACAGGTGTTCATCACCATGCCGCACAAGCCCTCAGTCTTATAAGTGCTGTAGCAAGTCCTGGTTATGTCCCAGGTGCCGGGAGAGGGTAGGTGCTCTGAGATTATGGAATGAAGGAGTGGACAGCACAGGAGCCCCAAAGGCCAGGGCACAGGCAGAGACACCCACCCCCCGCTCAGGCAAACGTGCACCTTCACAGAAATCAGCCTGGGTGGAAACCCAGGTGAGGGAGGTAGGGCCTCAGGAACTGGGTGCAGGAGTGGCCCTAAGCCTGTCTTCTCCTGTGGATGGAAGCTGGCTGGGGCTGGGGGCTGGATGGCGGAGCAGACTCAGGACGAGGGAGGCTTCTTCCCCCTAACTCAGCCCACAGGGAACGTTGTTCACACTGAGACCTGGAACATATACACCCACCCAAGCTCCAGGCCTGGGGGGTATGTGCGCGCACACACGCACAGGCAGAGGCATGCGTGAGGCTTCCTACTTGGCTTGAAGGTGGAACTTCCTCTGACCCTTAATGGTACATTGTTGAGATCTGATCAGAGCTGCAAGAGTAACAGAGTAGCCTAGTGTCAAATATCAGGTTAAGCTTCTGTATGGTTACAGTGCCCAGCTGACCTCAAACTATCATCCCCCCAAGTGCTAGAATTACAGGTGTGTGCCTCCACACCTGGCCAGCCTTACCTACTTTTATATAAAAGGTGACACTTGGGGACTCACTGGACTCTTATGTAAAATGGGAAGGGACTCAGTTGCTTCACGATAAGCCTCTTTCCTGATCTCAAATTCTCTGGATCTACTTTCAGTGGAATCCCCTCTTTAAATCACTGGAGATTTATTGAGCACCTACTATGTGCCTGGCACTATCCTAGACCTGATCCTGCCCTCACTGAGCTCAAACTAAAGGAAGAAGGTAGACAAAAAGGTAGAGATTTCATGTACTCTTGAGCGCTCTCCCACTAGGTTTTCAGTTTGAAATCACCAGGGCTATTTTGTTTATCCAGTGATCTCCCTTCCCTCCCCAGCCAGGCTCTGGGACACCCTGCTGGTCTGATTGGTTGCTGCAGCCCTGGGAACTCTGGACATAGCCTGGCATAGGTAGCAACTACTGGGGGAATACGCATGAAATAAGCTAAAAAACAGATAAATGAAGTCAAGGTAAGCTTGGCACATATGACCTCGCCAAATTCTCAATGTGTCCTTCATTGGTCCCTTAGCAGACGGGGAAACTGAGGCCCAGGAAGGCAAAGCGGCTTGCGGGGGGGGGAGGGGCTCCCCCGCAGCTAAGTGGCAGAGATGAACTGATGGGGGATCCGGGGATGGGAGACACTGGGATCGTACAGTTACTCGGGGTCCCCACTGGCGACGCAGCACTGGCAGAATTAGGGAATGTTGGGCGCGCACAGAGGAAGCTTTCTGCTCCCGTCCCCAGGTCAGGGGGCTGAGGCTCTGGGGACCCCGTTTTTCGGGTGTCAGGCAGCTCTAGTTCGAAAGAGGGGAGAAACACTAGCTTTTAATAGGGTCTCTCCAGCATCCCAAACCACCCCCCTCCCTGACCCAAGCCAAACAGAGCGGCTGAAGCCCTCAAAGAGCAAACTGGGATGGGGGGAACCCAGTTTTCCTGGGGAGTAGGGCAAGCCCCATTCCTTGATCCCCTCCCTCCTCGGCGCGGGGCCCCCTTCCCACCACAGCTCGCAGCCCAAAGCTTACCTCGCAAGGGGGCTGGGGAGGGGATGCCCCACCCTCTATGGCCGGAGTGGGGGGAAACAGGGGTGTCCAGACCCTTTGTTTGCTGGTGAGTGTGCGTGTGTGTGAATGTGTGTGAGCGATTGAGAGACCCGCCGGGTGCAGGTCCGCGAACGCGCGTGCCGGGGCCTTGACTTCCGGTGCTCTTGGGGTGGTGGGGGGGTGGGGGGGGAGGGGGGGGGGGGGGGGGTCGCTCGCCCCCCCACTCTCCGCTTGAATGGAGCACGAGGGGGAGGGGCGACCTCGGAAGGGCGCTTTTGTCTGGATGGCCCCTCCCCCTCCCCGGCCGGGGAATCCCTTCTCCAAGCAGAATCTTTTTGTCCTTCCCTCCAGACCCCCATCCCCTAGCTCGCTGGAAGGCGGGGAAGAGGCGCCCCTCGTCCCGGTGGCTGGACTCCTCCCATCCCTCTTTCCCCCAGCCGAGCACCCTTTAATCTGAGATAATCCTTGGCCCTAGGCTGCAATACGGCTTTTTATCCTCCTTTCAAAGCGTGGGTTGGGATGTAGAAAAGTGCGCACCAGGTCCCCCAAGCTGAGTTGAACCCTTCGAGCCTCAGCTGAGGTTGGGGACCCCAGAAAAACGGAGAGGCTATGAGCAGCCCGAGACTGCTGTGACAACGAAAGCCCCCGTCGGCGCCTCCACGATCCCTGCCTCCTGGACGCAGGGCCGGCTCAGGTCGCTGGCTAGACTTTAGCGACACTCAGCGGCCGCGGAGAGATGGCGTCCGAGATCGGGTCTGGGGATCTTCGGTGATTTCAAAGGGGTGTACGGGAGGAGGCTCTAGCCCACGGGTAGCTGGAGAAGGGGGCGGGGGCTGTGGTCCGAGCCCAGCAAACACCAGTTACCTAGGCAGGGCCAGATCCACGTCCACCTCCGAACTCTCGAGGGCAGGGTCACACCCTTCCCCTTTAGGCCGCCTAGAACAGGGCCTTGAAAGTTGCATCAGGTCAGGCACTCCTTCCTAGACCAGAGTTAAATCTCCCTTCGCCAGGGGCATGAAGCAGGTTTTTCAGTTGAGGCCCCGCCCTCTGCAGTGGGTCCTGGCTGATGTCACTGCGGCGTGGCTAAGGGAACAATCCTCTCAGTCCTGTCAAACGCCCACCGCGGGCTGGCGAGAGATGACGAGGGCTAGTGGTTGGGGCGACCACTGGTCTGCCCACCGGAACTGCCTAAGAGAGAAACTCCAGTAGACAAGGCAGGGTCGCGGCGGGAACTCCCGGAGCTCCGAAACACGTGCTCAGGGACCTTTCAGGCGGGTCCGGTTGCTAGGGCCGCGGGGAGTTACTAAGGACGTGACGTCACGCGCGGTTGGGGCGTGGACGCCCGAGCGGAAGGGGAAGGGGCGGAGCTCTGCGGACCGTGGCTCCAGTTCTGCTGCCGCCGCCTCTGCCACCACCAGAGGTAGCGGGCTGGGCCGCCGAGGTAAGATGGTGGATTACAGCGTGTGGGACCACATCGAGGTGTCTGACGATGAGGACGAGACGCACCCCAACATCGACACGGCCAGCCTCTTCCGCTGGCGGCACCAGGTAGAGCATGGGAGCCCCTCCCCTTCCCCCTGCGCGGGACCCGAATACTGCAAAGTTCTGACCCCTAATACTGCCCAGGGTTCCTGCCCGGACACTTAGGGTTCCTGCCCCACACTCTAGGCTTATAAACCCCAATACTGTTGAAACTCCAATACTGCCGGGACCCCGCGATCTCCGGGGCTCTCCCTCAGCCCTCTGTGTAGAACTTCCCATTGGTGCTTAGGGCTTCATCGTAGTCTGTATTTCCAAACCGAGCCTTGTGAGTCCCCAAGTTCTATGTGCACCTTTCATTTTCACCCAGAACTCCGCCTCAGAGTCTCGACCCCGAATTCTGCTAGATGATCCCCTATCCTATTCAGGTACCTGCTTCTGATTTGGGATCCTCCATCAACCTCTCTTCAACTCCTAGAGTCAAGACCCTCGACTTTTTCTTTTTTTTCCAAGACAGTCGCTATTTAGTCCTGGCTGGCCTGGAACTCCTAATCCTCCTGCTTCAGCCTTCTGGGTGCTGGGATCACAGGTGTGCACCTTGCACCACCCCGCCCGGCACAATAATTTGACTCTATCCTGAGGTCTGCTTCTTGGGGTCTTGACCAAAGATTATCATTCAGACCCAGAGACCCCACGCCTTTTCCAGACTGAGCTCTGCCTCACCTGATAATCTGTTCCTGGCCTGGGACCTATTTCCTAACGTGCCCCACCAGGGTCCGAATTCCTACCTAAGACTTGGGGTTTGGGGGCGAGATTTAGCTCAGTGGTTCTGCCGCCTGCCTCAAAAGCGCAAGGTCCCAAGTTCGATCTCCAGTACCAAAAAAACAAAAACAAAGACTTGGGGTTTTGGAACTTGGTCCCCCTCTGTATATCCACCACCAGCTCCACCCAGAGGGAGTGTCCATTTCCAGCCACTCACCACAGGTGGCACCTCCAGGAGTTCCTGTCTTCCCTTACACAAGGAAATCATGCCTACTTAGCTTCCTGCACAGCCAGCTCCTTGTCCATATTGGGTATTGCAGACCCATGACCGCTCACCCTGCGATACTGCCTTCCTGTGTGAACCTTCACCACCCAAAGCCCAGGACCCCAAACCCCCACCCTGGCACCTTCTGTTCCCAGCCTCCTCTGCTGCTGTCAAACAGGGACCCTCTTGGCCTTATTACAAATTCACTGCCCATTTTTTTTGTGGTACCTGGGATCAAACTCGGGACCTTGCGCTTTCAAGGCAGGCCCTGGAACCACTGAGTTAAATCCCCCACCCTCACTGCCCCTTTTTAAAAACTCTGCTCACATCAGGCTCCCCCCCACCAAGACCTTGGAATCCCAAGTCTGAGTGATCTATCTTCTGCCACACCTCTTCTTGCCCAGTAGTACCCGAAGAGCTTCCTGTTCCCATAAATCAGAGCTCCTGTGCCCACATACTTGTGCCTGTCACTCAGACTGAGGGTGTAGCCTTATCAGAGCCTTCCAGTTGGGAACTGCCCACCACCCCTCCCATGGGAATCCTAAATCACTTATCTAGAATCTTCTTAAAAAAAAAAAAAAAGATAAAAAAAGGGCCAGGGATTTAGCTCAGTGGTTCTGCCGCCTGCCTCGAAAGCTCAAGGTCCCGAGTTCCATCCCTGGTACAAAAAAAAAAAAAGATTAGAATCTTCTAGAAGGCCCTTCCCCATCCTTCTGGGACGTGGCATTAGCTCCTTCCTACCTGTGACCTTCTGTCCCCCCTCCACAGCCATTCCTGAGATTCCTACCCCCTTGTTAGAACCTGCTGGGTAAGCCACAGGAGTGTGGGAAGAAAGTTCTAGCACTTCTATTTCTTGCTGTGTGTAGCGTTTTATTATGAAATATTTAAGACCTCCGCAAAGCTGTAAAGACTATTCTAGGGAACACCTATTTCTGTCACATAAAGAGGTTAATCTTACTACCTCATGGAGAACAGTTTGGGCCTCCCAAGTGGGAGGCTGCCCCTTCTGCTAGCACAGAGCTGTTTCCCGTCCTGCTGCTGTGGCCATAGTAGGGAGGAGGGGAGACAGGGGCCTGAGTGTGCCAGCCCTGCCCCTTCCTGCTTCAGGCTATGATGCTAGGAGAATCATACCCTCTCAGAGGCCATATGAAGTAGGATAATGTGGCCCCCACCTGGGTGAGACGCTTTTAAGACTGCAGTGAGGGAGTGAGAGTAGCTCAGTGGTGAGCACCTGCCTGGCATCATGAGTCCCTGGGTTCCAAAATACAGAATGAAATGAGCCAGATGTGGTGGCAGGCACCTATAATCCCAGCACTCGGGAGGCTGAGGCAGGAAGATTGCTGTGAGTTTGAGGCCAGCCTGGGCTACATAGTAAGAAAGGCCAACCTGAACTGCATAGTGAGACCCTGTCTCAAATTTTTGAAAAAGGATGAAATAAGCCTAGCTCTGAAAGGCAGGACCTAGGAGGGAGTCAGTAGTCTGGAGATGGAGTGGGGATTGGTTAAAAAAGAGTCATCAGGGTCATGGTTCCCACACAGATCTGACCACCTGCTGGGTTCAAATTTTGGCTCCTTGTGTGTCACTGATGTGCTCTGTGATGTCCAGCAACTTGTCTGACCTCTCCGTGCCTCAGTTTCCCCAGATGAGAATATGAATAGGATCCATCCACCCCATAGAGTTGCAGTTAGGGTTAGCTTGATCATTTAATGTCAGGAACACTCTTGGGACCATAGCCGCTGTTATCATTATTTAGGTAATGGTTGTTTTATTTTATTTTTTTAAACACAAGGGCCAGGGATGTAGCTCAGTGGTGCCGTACCTGCCTGGCAAGCACAAGGTCTTGAGTCTGATCCCTGATACCAGGAAAAAATAAATAAAAAAACAAATTTCAGGGCCGGGGATTTAGCTCAGTGGTTCCGCCACCTGCCTGGCAAGTGCAAGGTCCCGAGTTCGATTCTCGGTACCAAAAAAACAAAACAAAGCTAAACAAATTTCAGCCTGTAATCCCAGCACTGAGGGAAGCCAGGGCAGGAAAAAAACAGATGAGCAAGAGTCTTCCCAGCCCCAGCTGCCCAGCACCCCCCACCCCCGTCCAGAGCCAGCTGCCGTTAGTGGTTTCTTCTGGCTCCTTGCAGCGAGCCTGTTTTGCTCTCTGTGAGGCAGGACAGTGCCACCTGCGGAGACTGCTTTTCTCATGGCTTCTGCCTGACCCAACCTGCTGTGCCTGAATATAGGAGGTGTAAACCCCAGGCTGGGCACGCTGCCCTCCAACTCTGGGAGGCGTTTTTTAGCTTTGGCATCCCTGGCAGCCAGTCAGAGGACAT